GACTGCTAAGAAACGGGAGAGTGTTATGGCACAGCAGAGACACAAAGAGAGGTAACAGTGGGAGGAATGCTGAAAACTGCAAGGACTCTCAAGCAGGAGAAGCTGGGGAACAGCTTTTATGGAGTTGGGCTGGGAGTACAGACTAGATTGTGGTGTTGAGACAGGACTGGAGGATCTTTGACATGTGCACGAAAGAAGAGCAGAAAGTTTATTTGGGGCTAGCAAGAAGAAGATGGAAGTTAATACTGGAGGGACATGCTTTCTAGGGCCCAGTGCTATGTTGGGCAGGCACCATATTAAGTCTGGCAGAGTCCCATACAGCAGAACCTATCAGAAAGATCTACAAGAAAGACTGAGTCCCAAGGTATCTCACACACAGCAGACTATATAGAGTGGGACTTTCATTCAACATTTGCACTAAGACAGCACAAAAGGTAAAGAGTGTTGCTAGAAACAAAGCTGAAGGGGGCTGGGGATTTACCTCAGCGGCATAAGCACCTGCCTTGCAAGCAGGCAGTCGTGGGTTCAGTCCCCGGCACTGATAAAAAGGAAAAAGACAAAAAAAAACCCCAAAGCTGAAGCCCAGGCCCCTATCTGTTTCTGCCCCACCCTAGAAAACAATGACTGCTTTGTGCTCAACAGACACTTAGCAATGGTCTCGGGTTACCTCCTGCTGTCCTGGAAGCCCCTGTCCCAGGGAGCACTATCTTAGTGCCTTCTTAAGAAGGTCCTTTGGCATGAATTTTTTAACAAAGTCCCAGGAAACAATCCCTCACAGAGAGACAGAAAACCTTTGGCTGCTCTTTAGGTAGAGGGAGCTTCTCATTTTTTGTTGGTTTCTCTAATCACTAGCTAGTAAACACTAAGGCATACGGCTACTGTTAATTTTTACATTTTTAAAAACTCCGTTCATTTTTGCAGTTATTCTTGGCATGTCATGGCCACATCTCTCATAGTCTTTAAGTTTCTAGGACTGCCCAGAATCAAGATCTGGAAAAGCTAAGAACCTAGAAAACCAGAAGTCAGGTAGAACATTTCGTGTGCCAGACTATTCAAGGAAATATGGAACCCTACATCTTCTGATCTCCAGTTACTTTCACTCACTATCTTTAAACATGCTGTTTTTCTTTAAGGAAAAAAAAAAAGAACAATACAAACAAGTAACAGAAGACCAACATTAAGGTCAATGAGGACATAAATCTAATTTCTTGTGTTTTTTTCTTTTGTCTGATTTCTGATTCTCAATCTGCTCTTCCTTTCCATGGCAAAGACAGACCACAGATGTATCATATATTAGGCACCTGATGTATTACTGAAAAGTTACATATGAATTTGAATTTGGAAAATTATATCATAGTTTACAATGCTACTCAAAGAAATTCCATGGTGAATAATCTTTTTGAAACAGTAAGTACCCTTCTACAAGAGTCTGGAACCACATTGCATTTCTTAAATATTATTTGTGTGTTAGGCTCTTACCACATGCAAGAATCTGTGGCAGGCACATAGGAGTCACAAATACACAGCCTCTCTTTCTCCAAGTTTATCTTGTTACTCAAGAGTACCTAATACAAGTTAAATTTTAAATAAAAAAAGAGGTGAGAATTAAAAAAAACTTTATGAATTCTTTATGAATGTATCAATTCTGAAAGAAATCACTTTTTCACATTTAAATTTTTCTAGAATCATGAGGCTTGTGCTAAATCCCTGCTATGCTGTCATTCAGGCTCCACAACTACTGCCCTTTACAGATCTGTCAGTGATGCGCCATGTTAGAACCACACATACTGAGTTTGCTATTTAAAATATGTTCAGAAGGATTACAGTATGAAATTTAAAATTATTATATATACAGGAAGGGATAGAAACAGCAATGGGATATGAATTTATTATTAGTGAAGCACACACATCCTATTGAAGGAAAATACCCAATTCTCTTTTCTTGTAACAACCATGCATCAGGTGATGAGAAAGCAGGTGTCATACTTTAGTTAGCAGCACTTTTCTTTTCCTTAGTGCTATCAAAATAATCTTTTATAAAAGATGGTGACTTAAATATAGTGACATAGGCTAGCTCTCTGGGTTTCACTTTAAAGTAGAATTCAGCTCCTAACATCTAGATTTGAGAGGAATAATACTTAATTCTTTGTATAGGCTAGCTCATAAATAGATGTTAACTGGAACTGGAACAGTTAGTATTGAACCCTACTTTGGGTCCAGAAGTACCCTAAGTGCCATCCATAAGTCAACTCATTCAATCTCACAGCACTCGTAGATAGTATTCCTCGTATGCAAATAACTCCTTGCCCAGAGACCACAGCTGGTGAATCTGAACAAGACACAAGGTGTTTGCTCTACTCTCTCTCTAACTAGGAAAATTCCCATGATCCAGAATATTAGTCAGAGTTTGCAAGATCATTCCTTACACTTCATATTGCCCCCCTCTCCCCCCCATTATTCCCCACCCAGTGATGAGAACAAGATGCTGGAGTTTATCCCTCAGGCTAATGACCAAATCGCCTGTCTGGCCATGTGAGAGCCCAATCCTGACCATAACTAACTATCTTCTCTCTGCTTTTCAATTATCACCTTCCAAGATATATAAACCCAAAATGCAGGCCAGGTCTCTGGATTTTCTGTAACAGCCTAAGGCACAAGTCTTCTTCATTTTGGACAAACAATTGCAAAACTGCATGTTCCATCTTTCTTACAGCTTGGTTGCCCAACTTGGCTGTATGTTTCCTTTGTCAACCTCATACCAACAGTCCCAGGAAAAACAACAGACAAGCAAGCACACGAAGTTCTACAATAAGGAGAACACTGAGACCTACTCTATCATCCTTGGGTCCTGGTGGTTAGGCTTCTAACTTGGGAAGAATGCAACATATAAATCAGGTATCCAAGTTATTCCAGATGTCGTGAACTGGGAACTCAAATCTAGCTCTTCAGTCATATGAGGCTATCTTTATCTGTGGCAGGATGGACAAAAGAGGAAACCTCCAAGGGAGCCAGATGGTTCCTTAATTTTACAATTTTAGTTTCACTCAGTCACTGCATTCTAATCAGAATCAAGTTCATAAAGAATGTCCTTATTCTAATTTCTGTATCATCAATTTTTTTAGTGTTTTGGGTTGGGGGATGGACAAATCCAAGGGGACTGACTCTTTTCCAAAGTGACATAGGCAAGCTCTCTGGGTTTCACTTCAAAGTAGAATTCAGCTCCTAACGTCTAGATTTGAGAGGAATGATACTTCATTCTTTGTATAGGATAACTCATAAACAGATGGTAAGCTCTTTTCTATTGTTTTTGTTTTGAATCCTACAAAAATAAAAGAAAAGAAAAATCAGATTTTTGGCCAACTGCATTGGAATGATTTAGATTCAACATTAGTTCATGTTTTGACTTCACAACATAGGCCAGTAGCTCCAATCACACATTTCCACTATTTCAAGGAAAAGGAGCTAGGTCAAGAGGCAGCACACTAAATAGGCAAGAGAACGGGGATCTGAAATCACAGGGTCGGGTCAATAAAAAAATGACAGAAGCAATGAATATGAAGATGTGCCAAGATTTCAAGTTTAAGCATAGAATAGGATAAAGAGGAACAATAAAAGAGGTAGAAAACAGAGAAAGGTGGCCATCGGGTATAGATGAAAAACATTTCGTTAAATCTGCTGAGTCTAATATACATACACAACATCCACAGGGACACGGCATCTGGAAGTCAAAAATGGTTCATGTAGACTTCAAGAGAAAAGTCCACAGTATACAGATGTGAATGCCAATACCCCAGGAGAGAACAGATGAAACTATGAGAACAACAACATCAAATCACCAAGAGAAAGCATATAGGACATGAAGAGAATCTAGCACAGGCCCAAACCTGAGGTTGTTATTAATGGGAGCACAAAGAAAGAATACTCTCTGAAGGCTAAGCCAGAATAGGTCAGAGAAGCAGGAAAACCACAAAAGAAGGTGGTTCTGTTACACATAACACCTGCATCCAAGGCTACAGAAAGAGTGGGCAGTAAGCAGAGGCTGGCTGCTGGACTGCAGGCTATGCTATTATGACAGGACAGAAACTACTGTGCTAAGAAATTGGAGAAAGTAAGGGAAGTCAGCTGTATCTGCCCACCTAACAGATCTGAGGATACCTGAGAGGACAGGACTGTAACTTGAGGGATAACATCGTGAAGGAATAAGAGCAGTTCTATGTTATCAATCAGTAGCATCACCCACATAAAGAAAAATCCATCAGGTATATTTGGTGCATTAGGCCAATCGGGAAATAAACCATCATTCTGCCCATTAAACTCTGCCCACTCACTATGATACATCTCTACTATCTCTGTTCTCCTTTCCTCTCCTTTCCCCTCTCTTTTTCTCTCCCCTCTCCTTCCCTCCCCTCTTCTCTCTCTCCTCTCTATAACGACTTTTTTTTTTTTTTTTTTTTTTTTGTCTTTTTGAGACAGGGTCTCACTATGCAGCTCCAGCTGGCCTTGGGCTCACTTTGTGGCCCAGTCTGGTCTCAAACTTGCAATGATCCTCCTGCCTCAGTCCCCCGAGCACAGGGATTACAGGAGTGCTCCACCACACCTGGCTACTTTTCTAATATAGATATAAAAGAGGACGATCTTGAAATACACCTTAGAAGTTGCATTTCATCAAGAGATAATCTGTTAAGTTTCCAAGTATCTTGCTATTTTTATCTTTTATGACCTAAATATGGCACTATCACAGGTCACTAGAGAAAAAATGCATATGTAAAAATATAATTACTCTGTAGTTAACCCCAGAGTTGTACTAAAAATATTGGCAAAGCATCTACACTGTGATACTGAAAAATCCTTCAAACTTCCCAGTTATCTTTTTTGTGCATCAAAGCTCTTGTATGTACAGTTGGTATACATTTCATGTTTCCATAAAAATATTGCTTTTAATCATTAAATGACTGGGCAGGGTTGTAGTTATGAAAAATGGTCATGAAAGCAGCAAATACCTGAGGTACTCACAGCTGTGGAGTAGGGATTATGAGCTCCAGTATTTTCAGCCCAGCAGCCACATCCATAGAGAGCAGCCTTGGAGAAAGGAAAATAGAGACAGATATAATAATATTTCAGAACTATTATACGTAACTATCAGCTTTCTACAGTGAACAAATGCCACACCTATCTAACAAAGCCCGGCTTACTAATGATGTTCAACAATTAGATAATACCACAGAATAAACAAGATCTACCCAAACAATGGTCTTAGCACTCTCAAATTTATCTTCTCTTTTATTGAGACATACAATGCATTATCATTAGCTGTATTCACCCTGCAGTGTCACAGAATGTTGGCACACATTCCTCCTATCTAACTGTAACACTGCAACATTAACCAGCCTCTCACTATGTGTTTGCCTCTCTGTTCTCCAAGCTCAGGCAACCCCAATGTATTCATGAATCAAAATATCACATTATGCCTCATTACTGTTACGCATCAATGAGAATGTAAAATTTATTAAAAATAAAGGACATTTCTTTTGAAGTCCTGTATTGTCTCCAATGTTTCGGTTTTATTGGTTTTGTTCTGTACTGTTTTGTTCAATTTTATTATACCTGATGATATTGGCAATTCTTTTTAAGACACCAAGAGGCATTATGGTAACCATTGTTGATCACCTTGCATTCTGTTTTTACATCGTGTACTATGTCCATCCTTTTGTTTTTACTGACTCTGTTTTGTTTTGTCACATTTGGTTTTATTCTTTTCAAAAAAAAAAAAAAGTAATAAGAACTGTGGGAGTAATAAAACCCAAAATGTGTAATTGTTATTGTAAAAAAGAGAGGAAAAGAAAGTGCTCTAAAGGATAGCTGCATGTATATTTAAGTGTGTAAGATAGATGACCATATTACTAAGTTTTTGTTGGATCATTGAACAGAACTATCTGCAGTCTCACTGTGTTGAATGTCCATTTTGTATGCTTTAATTTTGTAACTTGAACAACTATTTCTAAGATGACAATATGTAATCTATTAACTAGTGATTTCTTATTGTTTATTTTTTTGGAATTCTGTATAACTTGTACCCTTTTTCTGTTTTGTTTTGTTTTCTTTAAATAAAATTTAAAAATAAATAAATAAATAGAAAAAGGACACATTTTTGACTATTCTACTAATCTAAAAATTCTCAGTAGCAACAGAAAGTACTTTAGTCGCATCAGCAGTAGTATTTTCCTTCCATGAAAACCTTTTTCCCTTTTGGAATGTCAGTTAATATTTCTTCCATACCTTTGAAATCAGTAATGTTGCCTTAAAAACAGTGGGTCTCAAGCAAGGTATATACTGAATTGCTTCAAAACTTGTGGATTAGAACCTGGGTTTCAAAAGACTACAATACATCAGCGTCTGGGAGTGGCCAGGAGCCTGGCACAATTAAGGCTTTGGAGTACGGGATGCAGGTAATCTACTGCTCTCTAGGAAACAGCTTCAGGAGGCCTTTTTCATGCCTCCATTGGGGTGGGAACTATGAACAGCTCTCCACCAAAAGTGTATGCTCTCCACTGTGCTAGATTTGCCAGAGGAAAATGAAGCAAAAAAGCCTGTTCACTTTCTTAGGTGGTGATGCAGATTTACACATCTGAAACCATCAGGAACATAATAAGACATTGCAGTTTATAAAAGATGATGACAATTATTCCTATGTTGTTTCCAATAATTCTACTCAAAATGTCTACATTCATCTCAACATTCACAAGGACTTCTCTGTCTTGAGAGGGGAATCATAACTAACAACTTTTCCACAAAAATCCTTAGCTAATAATCAGAGAAATACAAAAAGGCATGCACATGGTTGGTAGGAATAAGAAACTAGAAACAACCTAATGCCAATTGGTAAAGAAGCAGTTCAATAGACTTTGGCAGAGCAATACATGGAATTCATTGAAAAGGTTAAAAATCAAAGAACCAAGTTTTAAAAAAAAAAAAAGTGTTAAGCAATGAGTACAAAAAGATGTCCAAAACATACTGAAGAGTAATTCTTTTAAAAAATAGCAAGTAACAAATACATTTAATATTCACTAGGAATAGAGGAAAAAGATACACCCATAAACACTGTTATTTTCCCAAAGTTACTTGGAGTGAATATGCTAAGACTGTGAGTAGTCACCAGGTATGTTTCGGCTTTCTGTGACATTCTATCATTCTTTTAAGGACCTTAGGACTCATTTGCTTCAATATTTTAAACAGGGTAGGAATCTACATGAAACGTCCCCCCACTTCTGATTCTGAGAACTTCTCTACTTCATGTAGGAACACATTCCCCTACTAGACATTTCCCACTGCTGGAAAGTACTGTCTTCAACTGAGAAAACACCTAATTTAATTTCCCACATCCCTACCCTTCTCCCTTAATGATCTTCCTTTGTAAATAATCCACTCTAAGATATTTAGACACAAAATCTCCCAAGCTCATGTGACCTGCAGTTGCCATCTCTAATTGTCACTAACAATATCCCTTTTAGATGGAGAACAAAGAACTGAACAAGATACTTCCAACATGGCAAAAAAAAAAAAAAAAAAAAAAAAAAAAAAAATGAGCATCTATTATTGCCTTCAAAAACACTATGCTTCTAAAATACATTCTTCAATTTTTTTCCCTAACAATGCTGCGTCAATGTGGCAACAGAAAGCCCTTGAGAAGTGACTCAGCATATGGACTTCCGAAAACAACTAGAAAACTTGGATGGAAGTCATTCTGCTTACACTCACTGGGCCAGGTGCTGAGTCAGCCAAAGTCAGCAAACACAAGACCCTGGTTGCAGGGCTACCTGTCCTTCACGAAAATATCTGGACATTTATCCTTCCCCTTCCCCAAAATAACCTTAACCCTCCATACCCTTTTTGAGTGACCACAAGGTCAGCTCTGAGAATGCAAGTGGCAATCTTATTTCTAGAAACATAAGAACATTTTTTCCCTCACTAAGCAATGTCCTTTTGTGATGCTGTCTCTTGATTTAATGATCCACAGCTGCCTTCCTTAACTTTCTGAAATTGGTTAGGGTGAGGTTACTTACAGGTAAGAGAAAGGGAGGAATCATAGAGGCTGTCTCTCTTATCCACTCGTTTGCATAAAATACAGCAACTTTTAGCTGGTCTTTAAAAACATTAATAAGAGTCAGGTGTAGTGGTGCCATGCCTATAATTTTATCACTGAGAGGAGTCAGGAGAATCGTAAGTTCCAGCCCAGCTCAGGCAACTTAGGGAGAGCCTGTCTTAAAATAAAAATAAAAAGAACAGGGGATGCAGCTTAGTGTAAAGGCCATAGGTTCAATCTTCCTCAGTACTGGATGGGTGGGGATGAGGGCACTTTTCTTCTTCTGAGTAGTAAGTTTATTTGGGATATTATCACATAGTACAATTAAGTTATATAAATATTATTATTTTATTATTATTATTCAGCCTTCTCTAGGACACTGTTTTCTCTTCTTTAAAATAAGATAGTAAAAATACCAACCTCCCAGTGCTGCCAAGGGATCACATGAATTAACACACTTGCTGCACCACCCAGTGCTTAATGAACAGTAGCTAGGCCTATTATTATTAAGAACTATGATGTACAATTTAAATGCATTATGTTATTTAAAATTCCAGAACCTGGTAAGGTAACTAGTATCCTTTATACACTGTGGAAAGTGAGTTTAAAGATGAGGGAAGGAAAAAGAATTAAGACATCCTAAGTACATGTATTAACTTCCTACAACTGAATGTAATCATTATGTACTATAAACATATATACAAAAATAAAATAAAATGGTTTTCTAACCATTTAGAATACAGGGAATGGTAAGTGTGGAGGACTGCAACAAGGGTTTGCCTGCAACTGAAGTCCTCATTCTTAACAACTGAACACAAGTATATGTTTGTCTGCAGATGAGTTAGAAGGACTGGAGTACTACTAATTCTCATGTACTAGTTGTAAATTCTAATTATTGCAGTAAACTACAGAAGCAAATAAGTGCTGTTTCAAACTGCCTTTTGGCCACTGGCACTGTTATCACATATTTAAAGTTTTTAAATGCTCACATGAACATTTAAAATGCAGTTGAAAGTACCTCATTTCAGCACATTTTTTTGGTTTTGTTTTTGTTTTGAAGAACTGAGGATTTACCCCAGAGCCTTCACTCACACTACAGACAGACAGACAGACAGACAGACAGATAGATAGATATAGAGATACAGAGATATAGAGATAGATAACAGGGCTGCATCACCATGCCTAGCCACGACTTGTTTTTGTATTTTCCTGATTGAAAAAAAAGCTATTCTTTACTTCTCATTTGACTCTTCATATTTCCAGGCTTATTTTATCTCCTTCATCTAGAAATACGTATCAATCAAGCAATTACAGTACCTTTTGCTATAAGTATTTGACTCTTCTCCTCTGCACCCTTTTCTTGTTTTTCAGCTCTAACAAGTTGTGTTAGACATGGCCAAGTGGAGCAAATCAACACATAAATTTTACGAAGTATTTCTTTTTCCAGAACAGTCTCTTGTGCTTTACTATTTGGCTTTACCATTGTTATATGTAATATCATGTTAACATAGTCCAGAACTATCCTTCCTTCTGTTGTTATTTTACTAACCAAAATAAACATAAATGGTGCAAAAATCATGGAAATTAAAATTTAATGATGGCAACTGTTGACTTTTTTCTCTACTTCTCCACAAAAGCATCTAAATCTCACACAACAAGTTTGGTTTTATTCCAAACTTGAAAAACACACAAAATTTTATAATGTGGAAAAAACATCATGACCAGACAAAGGCTTTTATAATGAGCTCAAAGCGCTGTATACAAGTTGAGTAATTATTCCCCATAAATCCTCCATATGGGAGGCAAAGAGTAGCATAAAATTAATTACTCTTCCCTTCTGCTTCCCACTATTGTAAGTCCTGTCCATGTAAAGATCAGGAAACAACACAATGGCTTTGCAAATGTATCTTCTGTGAATCAGAGGCTCAGCTCCCAGCATTTGTTAAGCACTGTGACCAAAGCAATTGGACACTGCCTCATCTTCAAACCTGAGGAACGCCGTAGAACAAGCCATACTCCACACGTAAGGCAAGATGCAAATACCGCGTTTAAACACATTCCCTTGAAACTACTTCACGAGGGTGTCCAACTTATCTCTTCCCTTAGCAAATTATTAAGCCCATAAGTAATGTGTCAAATTGGCTTACATCAGAACATTCAGCACATCAGACTCACTGTAACTTCATTTGCAGTCTACAACTAAAGGTAATGAGCAGAGGAAGAGGATATGCAAGAAAACTTGGAATAATCACTGTCACATAAATTAGATCCTCCTCAGTTTTAGATTTCCTGAGTGTTACTGTGGCTTAGTGACCTGAAATCCTCAATTTTTTAGAAAATTCCCAAAATGCTCGATCAGAGGAAAGATAAAGAACAACAAAATTTCACTGCTCCTTGAATGGAGAAAATAAAAATATGTAACTCTAAACTAAAATCACTTTCCCACCTAAAAAGCAAGCAGCAAGAGAGCTAGCTACAGTTAGTTCTAAAGAGAGTAGCATTTGCAAAAAACAAAAATAAAGGAAATCAATACACATCTATAAAAATGCCCAGCACTATTGAAAGTAAAAAATTAGGATCATCAATTGAAAATATCAGAAAAAACTATTAATGTAGAGATTTTTTTAAAGAAAGTATTAAAAATATTTGAATTTTAATTCATGCTACATAAATGCCAAAGAACAATATTTTTTTCCTTAAAAATGAAGGGGAAAGGTAGTGGTTTTAAAATTGTGAGCCAGAGCTGGGTATAATGGTACACATTTACAATCCTAGCATTCTGGAAAGTAAGGCAGGAAGACTATAAATTTTAACTCAGCCAAAGCCACTTAGTAACTTACCAAAAGCTAGTCTCAAAATTAAAATAATATTAACAATTAAAGGGTTGGAAATGTATTTCAGTGTAAATGCCTTAGATTCATTCCTCAGTATGGCACCAAAAACAAAAAATGTGACTAGAAAATTGCTGTATTTTGAAGTGAGTTTTAAAACCCCATAACTACTTACCTGCCCGACTCTCCCTGGATGTTTCAAGGCCAGGCCTCCACTGGAGACAGCAGCAGCAACGTTCCCCTCGTGGTCTACAACCACAGCGCCCACTGTGTCCAAAGTGCCTGAGTCGTTTTCCTGAAGAGCAAAAAGGTTGTGAGTACTCATAAGCCTGGAAAGGAGCAAGGTGATCCATCTGAATGGTACTTCTTTATCATAACGCAGTAACATCTGAACTGATCCTCAAGGGGAACAGTGAACACCCTCCTAAACTTACCTACTATCAAGGTGCCACTGAAGAATCCTGAACACAAGGTACCTCACTGTCTTTCCCTGATATTTTCCTGCTTTTCAAGAACAAGATTTATATGCTCTCTTAATACAAAATAACAACTATAAATTATAGAACACAGCAGTATCTCTTTAATCTTGAGAATTAAGTGATTAAAAATTTGCAGAGGATGAGATCTGTAGCATGAATGAGTCAATAAATGCTGTAACTGGTGCTTTTTAAATGTAATATGCACAAACTTCAAAAAATAATATATTCAGGGTAACTGGTAAAGAGGACATTTTCATTCTTAGAGTATACCACATTACCACTCTCTCTGACAATTCCTTGCTTGTGAGAAACTTCATGGTATGGTCTTTCTCTGCTATATCATTAAAACGCTTGCCAACTGTATGGCAGAAAACTGTATATCATTGGGAGGTGTCTTTATGTCTCTATTTTGTCCTAACCCCACATGCTGAAGGCATTTCATGCCAGTGACTATGAGCAGCTACCAAGTTTCATCTACCAAGTTTCTGAGTCCTGAGTACCAGACAAGCTACTGGATAAAAATCAGGAAAAAAAAAAAAAAGTTAAATGGTGGTGGTGGGGGGGGTTCATTTCTCATATTAAGCAGGAAAGTTAGTGTAGGTCTTCAGGTTAACACAGTCACAGTACAGTTCTTGGATTACTGCAGTGGTTTTCAAACCATTCCCAAAACCCTGCCTATATCCCCACCCTCACTGGGCATGACAGAGCCAGGTACAAGGTCAGGTTCAATGAGGTAGCTTCCTTTCCTGGGTGCTTTACTGCACATACTACTAAGCAGAAATTTCATTTATATAGACAGAATCCCTGTCCAAGAAATGAAATGATACATTAAGGCAATTGCCAGAAATGTCAATCAGCTCCTAAAGCAATCTCAGAATTTGAGTAATTCTGAAGGGAGCTTTTAAACATTGGAAGCAGAACATTAAAAAAAAATTTTTTCCTTAAAACAAATTACAATTCAGAGGTACATTATGCCACAACAAATTTTACCTTAAGTCTGATGGAGGAAGGTACTTACAAGTTGACGTTTACATTTTTCACTCTAAATTCTAACATCCTTTAAATACACTGAAACACTGTGATAGTACTTTGATATGAAAAGTTTAACCAGATGAAATGAGTGCCACATTCCCCCATGAACCACTGCTATTGGAAAGCCAATGGATCTGGAAAGTCACAGTTCTACTTATGGCAAGAACCTAACTTTCAAAGACATCTCCAAGCCTGATCATAAACTTGCTGAGGAAAGGTCTAACCTACTCTCTATCACTTTAGTACACATTCAGACACATTTATGCATTAGTGAGGATGCAGACATCTGCATCATGGAGACAAGAAGCAAGCCTGGTGACTCTATAAACCATGTTACATTTCAAGAGTGAATTTCATGCAGTGCCAGATGCTGCAACATTCTTAAGGGAAACTCAACAATAACCAGTTTTGCTCATTCAGGTCCACAAAGAAAAGTTATTCTTTGGTAGCTAAGATTAAAGAACAATATACAGTCAGATATGGTGGTGCATATAATCTCAGCACCTGGGAGACTGAGGCAGGAAGATTACCATGGGGTCGGGGACAGCCTGAACTACATAGTGAGACCCAGTCTCAAAAAAAAAGGAGGAGGAAAAAGGGGAAGAAAAGATAAAGATAAAAGAAACAAAATATAGAACTGGTTTGGAGGAGGAGACCTTTAATTTCAGAAAAGATGGATAATCCTAAACAGAAGTATATTTTAAGGTGAAGACTTGTTTAATTATTCTAATAAAACAAATTCCAAATCTTTATGTCCTTGAAACCTCAGGTTTACATCTTATCTAGATACCAAGTCTTATGCTCTCGAGCTCTAATGTGCATGCAGAGGACCTGAAGATCTTGCTGAAATGCAGATTCTAATGGAGTGATCTGGGGCCTGGCAGAGACTGCACATCCAGCTACCCTCCAGATCGCACCGACGCCGGTCTATGCTGGTCCACACAGATGGCTACGAGAAGCCAGGCCGGACAGCGCCCTTTCCTTTATCAGCCCAGTGTCTGCTCCACTCATTCCACAGCAAATGACAGTACATGTATCAAATCTGCTGAAGGACAAAAAGATTTAGTTCTGCCTTGTTCAACTATCAACTGACAGCATTATCCAACTGCTGCAAACATAATACAAAATTTTCAAAATATTGATCTTACACTGGTGGTTCTGTTTCTTTGTTTTAGAAATAAACAATTCTCATACAAATGAGCAGATTTACTTTTTCTCAACATTAAAATATAAAAGTCAAGAAGGATTAAACTTTTTTAAACATCATTTTTGGAAAATTACAGGGTTTTTTCCTAAATTCTTTATTCTGGTCTCATTGCCTTTACATACATTTTATTTTCAAAATACATTTTATTACCATTACTAATGAACATTAATTGTATAAATTAATAGGTTTCACTGTGATGCTTCTATAAATGAATACATAGCGTTCTTACTGTATTCACCCTCTCTTCTACCTTCTCTTGCCTTCTCCAGCCACCTTCTTGTTCCCTAGTCATCCTTAGATCATCTTTCTTGGAAATACTATGTTTGTATGTAGGGATTATATATACTTTTTTTAAAGGATAAAATACAGCCAGATGTGGTAGCGCCTGTAACCCCAGCACTTGGGAGACTGAGGCAGAAAAATCACCTTGAATTCAAGGCTAGCCTGAACTGTATGGCGAGACCCAGCCTCAAAAAAAAAGAAGTGTATATACAGCCACATCTGGATATAAATACACACACACACACACACACACACACACACACACACACACGCACATATATATATGCATACATATATCAAAATTCTGGAAACACATATTTTTATTCCCTAGCTCAGGTACAATATAAAGTGACTGTCTTTATCTGTCTTCCCTGATAAGGACAGTTGCTTCTGATGAATACTCAAATTGTATCTTTCCTGTTTTATCCTCTAACCTCTGAAGGAAGGTCGTTTTGCTTATTTTTAATTGATGAATAAAAATTACATATATATATACTTACAGTGTAAAACATGTTTTAAGTATATATTATAGAATGAAGTCACACTAATTAACACATGTATTACCTCACAATTACCCCACCTGTATGTGTGTGTATGTGTGTGCGTGTGTGTGTGTGTGTGTGTGTGTGTGTGTGTGTTTATGTGTGTATGTGGCGTGAAAATGCTTAAAATCTTTCCCTCACCCATTTCTGGGCATCAATTTCAGAGCTTCATGCATGCTAGGCAAGTGCTCCACCACTAAGCTACACCCTCAACTGTATTCTTCATAAAGTCTTTTTATAAACTGCAACTGCTGATCTTACCCAAGAATTCTACAAACAGAATTTTAGAGAGGGGATACACAACATGTATATAGCATACATATATTATCTATAAAGTAGTTCTAGAATTCAGTGTCTTATGAACTTTCATGCCTAACCTAACTATTCTAAAAGGACACAAAAACTGATGTCAGCAAAACAACACTATACATTTGTGGATTTATAGTAACTTAGTTTTTAAAAATGAAAAATCATGCAAAAAATAGAAAATTCTGTTCTAAATTAAGCTATATATTCCTGAGGGTCTGTAACACCTGCAAACATCAGAATTACTTCATAAATATTCAAGAAGTATGTCACAGACTTCATATATTGCAAAGCAAATTTAAGGATGATGAAGTAATATTTAAGCATTTTTATGAAGTGTAGATACACTGGAGTGAAAGCCAAACATTGGTATTTTTGCCATAATAATTTCACGGAGCTCATTTGTACGGGAATGAAATCTTGGGATAAAAAATACACAATGACTGTTACTATATAGAGGTAACATTACACTCTTACACTCCATAAATACTTAAAAATGCATGCACCATAGATACACATGCATCTATTGTCATTCACTGAAATATACTATTCATTTTGCTTTTTTGATAAAATGCTGGCTACAAAAGAACTGTAAAAATTGAAGCTCTCTTCAAAATTAACACATATATAAAAAAACAGTGCAAATGTTATAGAAAGCACTGAAATAAGGCTTTCTTGAAGTAATTACAAAATTAGCACTTTTATTTTCCTCTGCTCCAACCTGGAAATGGCTATTAAGAAGGTATTATTAACATTAAATGAAGTAATACACATAAACTACTTTAAAAGTAATATATCCTCTGAAACAAATTTAAGATAGCTCCCACCAAAAGATTACACCTCTAATTTGTTCTCTAACTCTGAAATATGCCTTAAGAGACCATTTATCTACTCATTTGTCTCATTAATATGATCATTCCTCAGAATAAGTGTTCAGGTATCAAATAGGTAAAATAGAATAAATCTTAAATATATGAATGCATCTTGAAATTGGTATATCACAAGCTTTTCTAATATGGTAATAAAAAGGTTCATGTGTGTATGCATGTGTGCGTTTTTTTACTGAGGCTCAAACCCAGGGCTACAAGCAAGGCAAGTACTCTATATACTTTTGTTAGGCTTAACAGCAGTATTATAACTAGCATAAGCTTCCAACCAAGAAAAGCAGATGACTTGTACCTTCTGCAAAGTGCAACAATGCTACCATAAAACTTTAATATCTCTGAGTCTCTGAAAATGACAAGACAGCTATAGCTGCAAGACATGGAGACCCAGCTCTGTGTTTATCTCCCACAATTACCCCTGAACACAGGGCCACTGGAGAGTAGAGCTGATCAAGTAAACTTGTCTAGTTTAGCTAGAATTATCTGTTTTCATGCATGTGGGTTGGTTCAATTCAGGGAAAATTTGGATATAGGAATATACGATAATCTTTTATTTTCCCTCT